TGTTTTTATGTTTCTTCATTTCACCAATCAGGTAACTCCGGATAACGAATTCGAAAAGCGAATCCGTCCAGAAGTCATCCCAGCTAAGGAAATCGGTGTAACATTTGCTGACATAGGCGCTCTGGACGATATCAAGGAATCTCTTCAAGAACTGATTCTCTTACCTCTCAGAAGACCCGACCTCTTTAAAGGCGGGCTTCTGAAGCCTTGCAGGGGAATACTGCTTTTCGGGCCACCTGGCACTGGGAAAACAATGCTGGCTAAGGCTATAGCTAACGAAGCTGGGGCCAGCTTCATCAACGTCTCCATGTCCACCATCACTTCCAAATGGTTTGGTGAGGACGAAAAAAACGTACGAGCCTTGTTCAGTGTTGCGGCAAAAGTCTCCCCGACCATAATATTTGTGGATGAGGTTGATAGCATGCTTGGGCAGAGGAATAGGGCAGGAGAGCACGAGGCCATGCGCAAGATAAAGAATGAGTTCATGACTCATTGGGACGGGCTACTGTCGAAACCTGGGGAGAGGATACTCGTTCTTGCAGCCACCAATAGGCCGTTTGATCTTGATGAGGCAATTATTAGGCGCTTTGAGAGAAGGCAAGTAAAAATTCCAGTTTAATAATACCTACACGAAGCGGAGTTTTCTGTTTAGTTTGTGGGAATTGAGTTGAAATATTTATTTTATTTTATTTTATTTTATTTTTCTAATACAGAATTATGGTTGGCTTACCATCAGTCGAGAATAGAGAGAAGATCTTGAGGACGTTATTATCGAAAGAGAAAGTTGAGGAAGGATTAGACTTTACCGAGCTTGCAAGAATGACTGAAGGGTATAGTGGAAGTGATCTTAAGGTGGATTGCCCTTTTTTTTTGTTTTTTTTTTTCTCCCTTCTGCTTTCTGTAGATTTATATATGTTGAATTATCTTTCAATGTTTAACCGCAATGTTTGTGAGTAGAACTTGTGCATAACTGCTGCTTACCGACCAGTTCGAGAGTTAATAAAGCAAGAGAGTTTGAAAGATAAGGTGAGCATAAAACTTCGTTTTAAGCACTTTATTTTTAAGCATTGTCTCTTATTTGCATTTAATTTGCATTATTTAAACCAGGAAAAGAAGCAGAAAGGTGGAAAGGGGGAGGAAGGGAATGAGGATGGAAAAAGTGCTGATAAGAAAGAAAGGGTGATCACTATTAGGCCATTGAACATGGAGGATTTAAAGGAAGCGAAAAATCAGGTGAAATATTCTTGTTTTTCTCTATATACACAAAACTATTATAAAATTTTGTAGCAAACACTAATTGAAAATCAGTAAGCACGTCGGTTAACACATTCCATCTTAGCGTGCATTAAGTGAAAAGCAATAAACACGACTCTGATTTGTTTTTTATTTCATGTGTTTGAAAATCCCCACAGGTTGCAGCTAGCTTCGCAGCCGAAGGGTCCATAATGAATGAGCTAAAGCAATGGAATGATTCATTCGGTGAAGGTGGTTCGAGGAAGAAGGAACAACTGTCTTACTTCTTGTAAGATTCGAGCTCTTAAAAAGATAATGCTAATCGAGACTGAAGTCCCGAATTTAGTAAGGAGATAGCTTTCGTAGTCAGGTTATATTTGAGTATGTTAGGTTTTCATGCTTTGCAATTGTTGTTGTTGTTGTTGTCGAGTTAGCCTGTTACTCTCCCACTCTCACTCTGAAACTCAAAACTTTGTTTCATGGGATGATTGGAGTGTGTTGGAACTTAAAATACATATATCCTATTGCTAAATATCCTTATATTTTGAAATACGAGTCATGTTTTTCTCAAAATAACTTATTAAAATCCAAATTTATTTTTCAAAACGACGTAGATAATATTATTTATACATGTCAAAAGAGTGTCAAAACAATGCGGATAATATCATTTATACATGTCAAAAGGATCCAGAAACAAAAACAGTTTGCATATTTTTACATATATTAAAATTCTCAAATGAACCCAAACTACAAAAAAGAACATTAGCTGTTTGTTAGCCCAACAGGTCGTCATTCATGTACATGTCCTCAAAACTTTCTAAATTCAATAGCACAATCAGGCTTTAACATTGATCATCAGATATCGATATTCTCACATACAATGCATTAACTACATGAGCTAAAGCTCAATAAGTAAAAGTCATGCATTTCAAGAAACAACATCAACTGATATGTATTACAACATGAAATGCAAATGATTGTAAATAACTTTATGCTTTTATAATTTTATTCTCGAAAACTTTCTTTCTTGAGCCCTCGACCTAACTGTTGTGCACCGGAAAGAGCTCAATATAACATTAATAATCACAATTAATATTCCAGCCCGAACCGTCTCACATGCCCGAAGCGATGTCTCACGTGGCTCGTGACCTTGGTGCACTAGCAGCGGCCAATTAATAAAATAATCTTTTATTTTCTTATTATGTCGTGTATGTGAGATATTCTATCTGATTATGGTATATGCATGCACATGCTCATGAAATATATGTTATGCCCAATACTAAGGACAATTAACATTAATTTCATATACAAATATCATCATCGTTATACATCACATCAACTTTAATTTATTATTTATTAAATCAAATTAATATTAATTATTTTATTTTAAATATTATTTAATACAAATTCAAATTCCACTAAAAATCGATCAAACAAACTTTTTCAAAGATTTTATTAAAAGAAAAACCATATCAAAATTTAATATATCTATATCCAAGCAAACCTAATTTCAATGTTAGAATAATTATAAAGATGAAATTGACGAAAAAGTACCATGTTCCCTTTAATTTCACCTACACAAAAAAATAAAATGAAAATAAAACAAAATGTTTAGCCTAAGCCATACAACTACAAAATTTGAAGAAAATTGAAAGAACAAACTTAGTATAAGACTACAAAAATTGAATAACATCTTTTCAAGTTCAAAGTTACTGCCTTTTATATCTCTACCTCATCTTATTAGCATATATACAAGGTAGTCTTCTTGGAGCAATAACAATATTCTTCACAATACTTGAGCATTTTAAACAAGAAAAATCCACTACCAAACAAACCGTTGAACATGTCGATTACAGAAGTCCAAATCGTTCCAACCACACCATTCTGAATTCAATGTAAGACTAGAAAACATGCCATTAAAGAGCAATTCACCATAGCCAACAACAAAGAAATTCTTATAAACACATGCATAGGTCGAGTATTTAGTAAACTATATATATAGTAACACATACTCAATAAACTTATTCCCACTTTTTGCCTTTCAATGGCCCTCTAGGGATCTTGCTCAGAACTTTAGCATCAAATACGGCATACTGTTTCTTGAGCTCAGCTAGTGCCTTCTCAGCAAAAGAGTCCACTTGGTCCTCGTACTTCTCGTAAAAGATAGGCACGGTGAACAGCAGCACAGTAACTATTTCAAGAAAATTGATGTTCATTTTAGAACCGGGGTTAAAAATGATGGAAAGAAGGTAAATTTCACCATTTTATTATGTGAATTTGACAATTACTTGTATAAAGAAGAGTCAAAAAGTCGGTGAAGCCTCCCACGACTGACAAAACCCACAAGCCAGCAATGACCTGCATAAGAAGCCGAGATTTATCTCTACCTTCGAATAAGTCTTAAAAGAAAATATAACATTTTGAAAATAAAAACAAAACGGGCGTAACAAATGAATTGACAATTGAAGTTGGATCATTATTTAGTAATTTGCAGCTAACGTGAAAACGACTTCCTCATAGAAAAACTTGATAGGGCTAACAATCCAAAATAGGGAAATGTTTGAAAAAACAAAAGAGTTTAAAATTCAAAAACACGCGAATTACATACAGAGAGAAATTTCTTCACATCCCGACCAGATGCAATATTCCTCAGAACTGCAAATCCACGGTTGATTTCAGTCCTCAAAGCAGAGGCAAATTCGAGCAATGGCTTTTCAGGGATACTCACTTCCGGGATTCTTGGACGAGATCTTCCAACAAAACAGAGAAAATAAATCTTTAAACTAATTAAGGAACTGACAAGATTAATAATAATAATAATAATAATTAAAAAAAAAAACCCGATTGTGCAACTCACTTGTGGATGAATGTGGAGGCATTCGACCACAAGAACAGAACAGTCAACAGAAGGATCAAACTGTGGCAAATGAAACTGAGCAAATGGTATTCAAGGACATCAAAGAGAACCCAAATTAAGGTGGCCACACCAAACAATCCTGCCGAAACCTTCTTATCCCTCCATAAAAACACATCAGCAGCTAATCATCAAACATGTTAGCTTGTCAGTGATAACATAAAAGCACTTTGGCTTTGTGTTAATTACAAATAAACTTTAACATGGTTCATGAGAAAAAGAGAACAACTTACAATGATTAAAGCAACAAAAGGGATAAATGTGGATAATCTACTCAATGACATCCCAGAAAAAAATTGAGATAATCTACTTTAGTCACATCCCAAAAGATTTCAAATAATATTTTTTAGAACCCATAAAAGAACCTCGAAATAATATTCACAACAGAGCATATCAATAAATATAATTAAATCAATTCAGTCACAGAATTCAACCATCAACACCCCAAATGAATCTTAAAACCCAATACACACAGATGATTTCACAAAGATCATATTTCCAGTTAATCGGTGGTAAGACAAAGATCGAAACTTTCGATCAGGCTTTTTTTTTTTTTTTTTTTNACAGAACTTACGTATGCCACCACCGAGGACCCTATGAACAGGCTTCTCCCTCCCGAAGAGTCGGGAGACCTTGGCCTTAAACGACGACGTCTTATCATCCTCAGAATCCGACGACGACGATGAAGACGATGAACTGCCGCCGTGGATCTTGTCAGCGATCTTCTCCATCAAAGACTCGTCCTTTTTCTCCTCTTCCTTGTGATCATCCGCCATCTCGGGCTCAGGTTTTTTGCCACAGATTATCAGGCGAAATTACTTTCAAATAGACTGTGAGCAACAGAGAAAGAGAAGGGGATCTGTGCCAAAATTTTCAGTGGTAACAGCTCAAATGAATGTGGAGAGAAGATTCTTGAATCTTTATCTTTCAAGGGGCAGGATTTCGCCACGTGTGATGCCTTGTGCCCCCAAATCGTGATTAAACTAAAATGTAAAATCACGTCAAATGCACCTCAATAATTTATTTATTAAAATAAATAGGCCTAAATAATAGAAATATAAATTAGCTAGTAGCTATTCCCTCTCACAGATTTAATTTATGATAGTCGTAAAAGATATTATTTATTAGTGTTTAATGTGTAGCTAACGTCTTTTTATTTATATATTTAAGGACTTTTATAAAAAAAGTATTAAGGGTGATCCAAAAAATGGGGGTTCACCTTAGGCTTAGCTAGGCTTTTTATGAACATAGCCCATAATTATTTTACTTTTAAATATTATTTTAACCTAATTATATAATAATTTTCATTAATTTTTTTTTATTACAACACACTAGTAATGGCAGATCATTTATAATCTAATCACAATCCACAAAAAACCAAGATTGAAATGGTATTGTATTGGGCCTCAACTATCCGAAGCCCACAAAAGCCATAAGCAACCTCTGGGACAAAGCAGGCCCATGTGTTTCAAACAGATTCACCTAGGTTTTTATTAAGTTGTATTGTACATACATAATACTAAAATAAATTCACTTATTTG